CTCTGGGCTGGGGACAAGCTGGGGATCAGGCACAGCTTGGATTTGAAGGTATCAGAGATTTTTTTCCAACCTCAATAATTGCAGGATTCTGAGGTTGTGGCTGCAGCCAAAAGGCAGAAGATGCTGAGGACATGGAGTAGGAGAGCACAGGGGGCTGGCAATAGCAGGAAAGCTGTAAAAGGGTTGGCTTGGGATGTTTTAGGAGTGCAGCACGACCACAGTGGCTCTCGATCACATGAAGAGCTGAAGTGACTGCCAGCCGTGCCTGGCGAACTCAGAATGACCAAGAGGGGAAAAAATGTTTCTTTCTGGGGGTTTCCACAAGAAACCACAAGAGACCAGCCAGAATCTGTTCTCTAAGCAGCAGTGCCACTCCTTGCAGCCGTGGTTTCACGAGGATCCTTCTAAGGAACTCGCCGGGCTCCTCCCATGGGGAGCACCCCACAGGGCAGCCCTCAGTCCCTGCACAGCTTCTCCACCCTGGCAGGGCTGGAAGCATCTCCCAGGCAGGACCAGAGCCTGATCCTCTCCCTGTGCCCACCACAGAAGCCACTCCTCCCATGCCTGATCACCTTCCACGCCAGCTGACATTCCCAGCATCCCTGCAAGCATCATTCCCATTCCCTTAATTTCTCAGGAACAGCATCCATCTGCTGCCAGCAGCTCACATCTGGAATAGTGAGTGTTGTGAAAGAGCCTCAGCCCTGTTGGAAGGAAATTATTCCTCCAGCCAAGGGAATTATGCAGAACTGAGTTTAGCATTTGGAGTTACAAATTTACTACAAATCCTACAGTTACACCAGGTTTTAAACTTCAGAATTACAACTTCATCTTCCTTCATTCCTAAAAATCTGCCCTCATGCAAATTGCCACGTGCCGGAAAACATTCCCAGAGAAAAGGAGGAGGAGAGGCAGAGGATCTGCAGAGCAAACCCCTCCTGAGCAGTGCTCAGCTCATGAGCTCCTCAGAGAGGAGCTGATCCTCAGCTCAGGAACTCTCACCCTGATCCCAGCGCCTGGAATGTGACCCCAGAGCAGGAAAAGGCATTTCCCAAGGGATGAGAGCCACCACTGCATCTGCCTTGGCTCAGTGAGGGGTGGCACCTCCTGTGGGACACTGAGCAGCCCTGGCGTGGCACAAGGGATGGCAAAACAGGCAGGCTGGCAGGAAAAGGAGGTCCTGCCAGCCCTGGAGGAGAAAGGCAGCGTGGTGGTGCTTGGAAAGGCGGCTGCAGCCACGGGCTGCAATCCTGGAATTCTGCAGGACAGGAAAGGGAAGGGCTCTGCAAGGCCACAGCACTCAGGCAAAGCCTCAAATGCTCCTGGCTGGAACCTGTTGACCCTTTTGGGATATCCCTGACCCTTTTGGGATATCACTGACCCCTTTGGGGTGTCCCTGACCCTTTTGGGATATCTCTATCCCTTCAGGATATCCCTGACCCTTTTAGGATCTCCCTGACCCTTTTGAGATACATGCAATTTTATTATGTACTGCATTGTATTTGGCCTTGAAAAAAAGCCTGTTAAGCTTTTGTGACACCACTGGGACCAGCAAAGGTGGCTTTTGACATTGCTCATGCCAGCATGGGGAACACAGCTGCTCCAAGGCAAAGGAATTTCCCCATGGAAAGGGAGCCCAGGCACTGGAACTGCCCAGGGAGCTTCGGATCCCCATCCCTGGAGGTGGCACCTGGAGGTGGCACTCGGTGCTCTGATTTTGGGGACAAAGTGGGGATGGGGCACAGCTGGAACTCTGATTTTGGGGACAAAGTGGGGATGGGGCACAGCTGGGACAAGGTGGGGATGGGGAACAGCTGGGATTTTCTGATCTTGGGGACAAGGTGGGGATGGGGCACAACTGCAACTCTGATTTTGGGGACAAGGTGGGGATGGGGCACAGCTGGGACTCTGTTCTTGGAGCTCTTTTCCAAGCTCAAGGATTCAGTGGAGTCAAACTCCAGCAGATCCAGGCTTCACTCCTGGTTCAGTTTGTGTTTGGAGAGTCCTTCCTGCCTGCCTGGGGAGGGGAGGACACTTTGCCCCGTGGCTCTGCTGTCAGCACTTCTGGTGCTCCTGTTTTCCTTGGCCCTGCTCCTGAAATAATTGTTTAGCCACAATGGAAGGTGACAAATGATTCAGCTGTGACCCCACTGGGAATATCAGGAGAAACTCCCCAGCCACTCACACGGAGCTGCAGCAGAGAAGGTTTAGGTTGGATATTAGGAAAAAAAATTCAATGAAAGAATAATAAAGCACTGGAGTTGTCTTCCCAGGGAGGTGGTGGACTCATCATCTCTGGATGTGTTTAAAAAATTTAGACTGGACATGGCACTTGGTGCTGTAGGCTGGTTGAGGTGTTAGGGCATGGGTTGGACTTGATGATCTTAGAGGTCTCTTCAACCTCATTATTCTGGGATTCTGGGATTCTGTGATTCTGTGATTCTGGGATCTCCTCAGCCCCACCAAGCTCCTCTCTCCCACTTGGATCCAGCAGCTTCCACGTCCCTGCCAAGGAACAGCCACTGACAGCCAGGGAGGGTGCACCAACCTTTCCCCTGCTCTTGCAAAAACAAAAACCTGCTCAGCTCTGACAGGAGCATGGAAAGTGCAGCCAGAGCCACTGGGAACATTGATATCAAATGAATAAATATCCCGACCCAAACATGCATGTACTGGGATTGCTCAAGGCTGTGAGCAGGAATAAATCTGGATGGATTTTCCCTGGATCACATGAAAGACAGATTCTTGACACAGAGCTCACCTGCAACTCAAATTTCCAATTCTTCCTCCAGCTCATCAAAAAGATCAGAACTGGACCTAGGAAAAATATTTTCCCCTCTTGGTGTTTTCAGAAGCAGCTGAACTGTTTTGGTCCCACACTTATTTTGTGGGGGGCTGTGTGGAATTTTCCTTTTTTTCTTTTTAAACAACCAGAGGCATGAATAATTTCCAGCACGGAAAACTTCTGCCTGAAGAGCTAAAACTGGCTCAGAATCATCCAAGAGTCACACAGAAAAGGCCTCCAGCAATGGCACCAGTCACTGCTACCAAGCCTACCTAGAGCATTTTTTTCCACTGTGCTCAGAGGATCTGTTTCACTCCTCACCTCTCAATCCAATTTCCACTGTCCTGCACCACGAGTTTAAAGTAAGGGCACCAGGAAGCAAGGGTGATAAGGGGGAAGGAAGGGAAAAACCACAGATTCTTTCATTCTTTCAACAGAGCCAAAAAGGAGTGGTTGTTGTAATTATTTTTACATTAAAAAAAAAAAAATAAATAAAAAGCTGCAGAGAACAGCGAAGGGCAGAGATGTTTGCTTTAAACTCTCCCACCTCCACCACGATACATATCTACATGTATTTATAAGTATCTCACATATCTACATGTATTTATAAGTATCTCTGCTTCTACAGATGTTCTGCAGAGGGTCTGGCTCCAGCGGTGCCGTTTCCCACCTGAGGAGAGTGCACAGCTCCAGCCAGGATGGAGGGGAGGGAGCCCAGCCACAATTCCCACATCCCCAGCCCAGGGATCCAGCCCAGCTAGAGGCACAGGCACCCCAAAAAACTGCTTTTTTTTTGCTCCCCCTTGCAGCAGGAGGTGGAACGAGCTTGGCCAGCAGCGTGGAGCACCGTGAAGAGGAGATGCTGCAGAGAAGGAAGCACGAGTTCCATTTCCTTCCAGCCCTGGCTGCTGCCCAACAGCTGTTCCTTATTTATTTACTTTAATATTTCCTTGGTTACACAAGCAGCTGCTCACAGCTTAACCCCTGCCTGGGGCTGTGTGACAGCAGGGCAGGGACACCCAGAGCTGTCCCCTGGACACTGCTCTGCTGCTGCTGTCCCTGTTGGCCAGGGGACAGGGCAGCACTGCTGTCAGCAGCATCTGCCCCCATCCCAGGTCTGGCAGGAGCCAGCTGAACCTGGGAAAGCCATCTGCACTCCCAGGGGCTCTCTCTGCTGGGCAGGCTGGAATTTCAGCCCCGTGTTTGTGTCTGCATGCAGAGATCCCAGCAAAGGTTTTCTCCTTCCCCTCTGGAGTCCAGCCCAGGCTGATGCTCAGCCTCACATCGGAGGGCTCTGGGGGCAGGGGGTGCCCAGCTCCTCCCCTGGTGCCACAAACAGCCCAGGAAGGGCATTCCAGTGGCCCCTCTGGCAGATGCTGCCAGCCCAGAGATCCCTTTGTTCATTTTCTTTTCTCCTCTGCTCAGGGCCTGTTCCAGAGCACAGTTTGTGTCCTGGCTCAGAAAGCCCAGCCAGACCCCTTGGCTCATCTCCACCAAGGAGGAGGTGGAAAACACCCTTTGCCTGCTCAGCTAGAGCACTGCTTTGGGTTTTCTGCAGCCCAGCCTGGCCCCATTGCCTTCCCAGCCTCCTCTCTCCCACTTCCATTTTCCTCCTGGCTCCCTCCTGCACCAGGAGGGAATTAAATCAGAATAACGGGATGGCCTGGGTTGGAAGGGACCTTACAGATCAACACTAAACAGGGACATCTTCTACCGCAGCAGCTTGCCCAGAGCTCCATCCAACCTCTTTTTGGACACTTCCAGGGATTCAGGGACCCACAGCTTCTCTGGGCACCCTGTGCCAGGGCCTCCCCACCCTCACAGGGAGGGATTTTCCCCTGATATCTGATCTTAACCCACCCTCTCAGTCTGAAGCCATTCTCCCTTGTCCTGTCACTTCATGCTTGTGTAAAAAGCCCCTCTCCATCTTTCCTGCTGGTTCCCTCAGGTGCCAGAGCAGCTGCTGCCAGGGGGAGCGGGCACTTCCCCAGGGAACCTTTTCCAGTGGCAGCCCTGCTTCGCTGTGACAGCAGCTGGCAGAGCCACAGGAACGGAGTTTGGACCCAACTGGAACAAAACCCTCCCCGACAGCAAACAAACCCCCCTCAATAACAAGCCCAGCAGCTGCACGGGTGGAGCAGAAGCCAGCAGCCCAAGGGAGCCCCTGTCCCTCCCCAGGCAGGGCCAGGCCTGCAGGATTCCCAGCTTTCCCCACCTGCAGGTCGAAGAACTTGCTGTAGCGCCGGTAAATGACCTCCGTGGCTCCATTGGACCAGGTGACCCTGATGATGTACACCTGCAGGGAACAGAGGCAGAAATCAGAGCAGAGCACCCAAAAAAAAAACCAAAAACACCCCACCACAACCCAAAAAGCTGCCAGTGCAGCCCTCACTGCTGGGTGACAACCAGGGGAATATTTCACATCAATTCAGCAGCACCACAACATAGGTAAGCTTAAATTACCGAGCCTCACTGCTGCAGCTTCTCCAAATGTTTATTTCTGGTGGTGAACTGAGCTCTGCGGCCCTGGAGAGGGGCACACACTGGATGTGAAATGTGTAAAAGCACAGCACAAATCCCTCCAGGCACAGGAGTTAATAACTAAACCCTGGCCACCCCACTTAGAGCTGCAGCACAAATCTGATTTTGGGGTCCACCTGCACCAGCCTGGCTGCTGCAAATGGGACTGCAACAGCTCAAAACCCCAGGGTCTGAAACTCCACCTGCTTGGGTTTGGGTTTCCTCCCCTTGCTGGGGTGGAAATGCCACACCAGCAGCCCCAGTCGCTGCAGGTCATTCACAGAGCCCGTGATCAGGCTTTAACTGGGGATGAATGCAAAACAAACACCAAACCCAGCCCATTTCATCATTCATTCGTCTGTGAAGGACAACAAGCACATCACAGGATGAGGCAATTACTGAGCTAATGTCCTCTGCTGTGTTTCACAGAAAGCAGAGATAACCCTTGGGTAGGTGCCAGCGTAACACCCAAGTGATACAAATCTCAAACTGATAACACATGGAGCAGAACCGAGGGTATTCTTTTTCTTCCTAACTCAAGTCCTTATTTCAAAGAAATTCAAGTTATCAATTCCTTGAAGAAGGACCAAAACGTTCAGAAGCCCAGGTGAAGGGACCTGCTGGAACTTCTGCCAGCAAAATCAAGCATCAAGGCTCTTAAAAGCTGATGTTTTGGTATTTAGGACAGAATCCCTGAGTTGTTTCACAAGGTTTTCCCCACTGAGATGGCCATTTTCTCAGATTCTGGAATGTGACCAACATCCTAAGCCAGTATCCAAAGTCAAACACCAGGACAGCACAACTCTCAGCTATTTGAGTTTATCAAACCCCACTCAAATCCTGGACTGAAAATCCACCTCAAATCTCAGTGTGCTGCTCAGAGGGCTGACACAGCCTGAGCCACCACGGTGAGGACACTCCTGAGGGTGACAAACTCTTCCCAGTGGAATCACTTCCAAATTGAGACAGAAAATGAGGCAGCAGGAGGGATGAATTCTTACTGCTAAAATGCAGAATTTCTCTCTTTTCAAACCAGTAATTCAAGGTCCACTTGGGTTGATTTTGGGTTGGGTTCGAAGGGGCCTTAAAGATCATCCAATGCCACCCCCTGCCATGGCAGGGACACCTCCCACTGTCCCAGGGTGATCAAACACCTGGCCTTGGGCACTGCCAGGGATCCAGGGCATCCCCACCCAATATCCCAATTAAAACCCAGTCTCTCAGTCTGGAGCTGCTTTCATTCCCAAACTCTTATTTTGTGGTGAACAACCCCCATTTCCTCACTATAACACAAGCAACACAGATGGATTCTCCAGGACAACATCTGCTCCAGCTGTGGAAGGACAGCAGCATGCTCCAAGGCAGGCAGCACCCCTCCAGCAAACCAGGGGTTAAGCTGGTGTTAGCAGAGGTTCAAACTCCTTTTCCCTCTCCCCAGGCCTTGCTGCTGGGCCAGCATGAGCTCATGTGGGCTGGAAGCTCTGCTGATATCCCACTTTTCTCAGCAGTCCCCAGCACTCCTCGGGGTTATATCACCGCTGGCTGCCTGCCCTGCAGAGAGCCTTGCACCGGGGCAGCAGGAGGAGCCAACTTTCCTTCTTTGTTTATTCCTACCCTGCCTTTATTTGGAGTCAACAGCTTATTAGGCTGGGGTTTTAATCAGGATGTGGATATACTCGAGCCAAAGTCATTCAGAGCTCTTCAGGGTAATGAAGGCACGAGGTCTGAGGGCACACCAGGCTTCCCTGCGGCTCTGCAGCTGAGGGAAGCAGCATTTCTGCTGAGTGATGAGCTCACTGCTGCTTTGCTGAAATGCAGCTCTCCCTGGGGTCAGGAGGAAGAGTTTCTTGCACATCCCTTTCCAGCAGCAGCAAAGTCTCCAGGGGTATCTCCTCAACTTACTTATGGAAAGCAGAGGAGATGTGGGAGTCCAGGGCATCCCTCTGGCTGCCCTGGCAGGGGTCAGGAACCCCCTGGACAGAGCCCCCAGAGACACTGGCTGTGATCTCTGCCCATGGAAAAGAGTTTTCAATCTTACAGGAT